CCTATCTCTCAATCTAATATCCCTCTGGAATGATCTCCCTGTCGAGATCCAGACCCTTACTACCCTCCCGGCCTTCCGCAAAGCCACCGCAAAGTCCTGGCTGCTGTGAAACATCCAGCCCCACGGAAATTGTGAATGTTGCGGTTTTGTTTTTAAAGTGTTGTCTTTGTCTAGTTTTCCCCCTTCCCTTGTCTATTGTGAGCCGCCCGGAGTCCTCCAGGAGTGGGCGGCATACAAGACAAATAAATACAAATACAAATAAATGCTCGTGCTTATGGCTAAATTAGTGTTATCCACCTGTTCCTGAGCCAATAGAGAAGGATACTGAGATAAAACCCCTGCCTTGATCTCATTCTATAATGAGGTTGGTGAAAGATGCTGTCCTTTCCCCCACACTGCTGGAAGCAGATTGGTGGCTTACATTCCTCTCCCATCAAGAGTCCACAGCAGAAAAACAGCTACCAATAATTCATCCTAATATACTGAGTGTGATGAGTTAGGGGGGCTGCTTAACAACCTATCAAGATGCCCAGTTAGATGTGGCAAGTGCTAGGGCAGTTGTGGGAAGAGGAGGGAGGAAGATCTTGTGTCAGTTTTCAGCTACAAATCAGACTGAAACCACTGACAAATTCATAAGGAAATCCAAGAACGGAAAATAAGCACTATTTATTGAAGAACGATGGTAAGTATCCCTAACCAAAAGAATTCCAGCAATTGCAATTCTTCAAAAAGTAACCTTGTTATTTAAAAAAATAGATTCAAACAGTCATTTTTCTATGCCTCCCACCTAACAGACTGGCTTCTTTCCATCTATTTTTTGTTGTTGCAATGGTCAGATTTGCTTTTTATCTTTTTTTAATGGCATCTCCAACACTCCTCACAGCCTCTCTTCTGCATCTGTTACCTGTATCTGGATGATTTGTGATCATGGATATACTGCTCTTTTGAAAATAGCCTGGCTGGCAGTTAGAAGACACTGAATGAGGAGTACAGAAGAAGATCAAAGAATAATTGCTATTGAGTGAGCTATGTTCCTTAGTAGTGCATATTGGTAGCTCAGTGACCATGTTCTGATCTCTCATGATTGGCAGCGCTTGGAAGGGGTCACTGGATGACCATGGAGAACACATGCACTACAATGAATAGATAGTTCATTGAACTTTTAGAATCATCAACTGGCGTCTTAAGCTACCGAAGCCTGAATGGAGTGCTCAAATTGGTGTCTGTAGCCCTCTTCCCCCATGGGAATAATTAGTGTTGAAAGTACATGTGAGTAGGGAGTGTTGCTCATTCAGGGAGATAGTTGTATCACTCTTGATGAAGACTTAGCAATAATAATAATTAAAAAAACTTGGAAACATTTGTTGGTCGAAGCTGTTGAAAACTGCAATAAACATAATTCCCATTCTTAGTTGATATTCTTGGATGCATAGGACTAGCACTATGAACAGAATATTGTACCTGCATTTAAAAACAGGGCCATTCCTCTTTCAAAAGAGTGCTAAATCTATATAAGAAAATGCTATGGAAAGCACTGATCAGACATTAAGGGCCTCCACACTTGGAAACTTTAAGACTTGTAGACTTCAGCTCCCAGATTTCCCCAGCCAGCATAGGACAGTCTGGCTGAGGAATTCTGAGAGTTGAAAGTCAGCATGCCTTAAAGTTGTCAAGTTTGGAGGCCCCTACATTAGAGGGAGATGTCTCTGTAGAAGTGAGGTGCCTGATCTGTCCTACAGCTCAAACCCAATGGCCATGGAGAACAATGCCCAGTGATTGATTGGAGGTGAGGTGAGGCCAGGGTTGCTTGCCTGATGCACTCATAATTGATAGAAGTTAAGCAGACTCCCAACCCCTGACTTGAATCGGCAACTGCATGATCAGGGAAGCATGTCAGATAACTTCCATGCAAAAATTGGTTTGGGGGAAGAGGGAAAACTCTGACATCTAGCATTGGCTTTAAATTGCTCAAGTATGAATTTGGGAAGAGATGAAGACAAAGTTATAAGGGCATGGGAGGAGAAGTGGTTAGTGAGGCAATGTTCATTTTGGGATTGGGGCAAATGAGTAAGAGTGGAACTCTTCTCCAACTGTAGGGAATCCAATGTAATATGAGCAATCTTCTGCTTCTCTCTTCAGCAGCTGCCTATCTTCAAAATACATCCTGGATATTCAGGATACCTCTGTATCCAATTTTTCCCCCACAGATTTGGGAAGAAAGAATGTTTATACCTGATTCATTCACATTTGTCTCTCAGTGGAATTACACCAGAGTAATTCTGAGACTTGGCACTGTATCTGTCTGTTTGTTGTAGCTTCAAAGCAACTTGAAATCCAAAAATTCATGTTTTTTGCTTTGAATAGAATGGAACAGAATGGAATAGAATTCTTTATTGGCCAAGTGTGATTGGACACACCAGGAATTTGTCTTTGATGCATATGCTCTTAGTGTACATAAGGGAAAATAAAATAAAATACATTCATCAAGAATCATAAGATAGAACACTTAGTGATAATCATAGGCTACTAATAAGTAATCAAATCATACTAGGAAACAAATAAAACAATATATATTGTAAAGATTCAAGCAATGTAGTTATAGTCATAAGTGGGAAGAGATAGGTACTAGGAAGGATGAGAAGAATAATAGTAATACAGTCTTAGTAAATTATTTGACAGTGTTGNCAACCGATCAAAGCAGTCTTGCTTTTTTGCACTTATTAATACATTTCACACATTTCATACATTTTAGATTGCAGCACTTCCAGTTTTGGCATGCTTATCTTGGACTTTTAGGGATTTCATCTGGAGGACACCGGATTGAAGAAGTACAGTTACAGTACATACTTTGAAGCTTATAAAAATGTGGACATTTCTGGGTCCTTCTATTGTGGTTGCTAATAGCTAAATTTAATGATTACCTTTCAGACTTCTGTAAAAAGTGTATTTTTTGTATGACATGTTGTGTACTGAATATCTCAATGAATCGTCATATGTGTTACTCCACCATGTTACCGAATAGCCTGACAATCCTATTCTAAAAAGCTAAACGTTCTAGACAATAGTGTGCAAGCCGGATTCTCATGAAATCCCTAAAATTAGGTACCAATTAATTTTAAATTAAAGTTTAAATTAAACTTAATAAACCTAGTTTATTTTTAAATCAAATGTCTTTATTGATGGATACAATGCAAAATTATCTACTGTTTTGTTTATTTTGTGCTACAGATAAATTAAAAGAAACAGAACAGGGGAGAAGAATAAAAGAGTAAAGAACACAGAAAAGATAAGAAAACAACAAAAATTCTCTCTCCCTCCCCATCCCTCCCTCCCTCCTTCATCCAGGCCTTTGCTGAGGAAGATTGACACTTTTTCCCTTTTCCTGTTCTCATCTGGGTTTGTATTCTCTGCCAACACTTTCCTAATAACTAATTCAGTAGCTACATCTCCAATTAATCAACAGAATTGTCAATGCAGCTCTGCTGCAGAGACTCAAAGGGAAAAAGCAATACAAAGGTAGTGAACTTATTCATTACTGATAAGTAATGTTGCCCTTATACTTAGAAACGATGGGTTTCTGATGCAATAATATAAATCCCTAATAATTAAATATTGCAATTTGTATGCAACGATAAACCCAACATTTTACTTAAGTTGTTCTTTCCTGACACAATTCTAAACTCTGGCATTATGTGGGTCAGGTGTGATATGGTCAAAAGCAAAAATCTGATTGGTCTGATCCTGGACCCGCCCCTTAAAGAGTGATTCTCAACCTGTGAGGTTGCGTGAACAGGAGAAAAGATGTCAGATTTGGACTTTGGACCTCTTCTGTGTGTAGATATGTATGTTTGTGTTTGTGCATGTATATAACACTATATGCAGTACCTATATCCTGAATCTTACAATAGTTGCTTTCTTCATTACTCATGGCTTTTCTTGTATCTGTAATAAAACTACCCTCTTAACAACTGTAGTTTTGAATCTCCCCGTGGGCCTTCTACTGTCAGTATCAGTTCAGCCTGATGGAGACCTGAGCTATTTTCTCTTCATCACTGCCCAAATTCAAGGAGAAATCCATGCATTTTAAACAAACTGTGTAGCTTATCTGCTTACCTTTTCATTGATTGTTCTGAAGTGATATTATCAGAAATGAAATGAACAACAAAAAATAGTATAATTTAGCACTTACCTCCTGGAATGCTGAGGAGAAAAATTGCAACAGTGAACCACAAGCCCATTAGGTGAACCATCTTTGCTTTTTTGTGTTTCTCCACATCAAAGGACAGACTGTATATATACTGAGGATGGTAAGGAAGTGGTTGTTGGCTTCATCCTACAAAGGGTGTTCTTTTACACACAATGAAACTGGAACACTACTAAGACGTTCAAAGTTACCGTATTTTCTTTTTCATTTCTAGTAAGAAGACGTCATACTTAACTAACATGGTTAATGAGGTGAAAAACAAAAGATATGAGAGAACACTTGTTAAGTTTTCATGTTTGCATTTAATTTTCCTCTATTCAGAGATAAGGTTGCATTAATAAAAGAAATATGAGTTTCCTAAAATGTCCAGTCTTCATAGATCAAGATAAAATATTTGATGTGTGTTTGCTCCACCAGCCCCATTTTGAGAATATTATCATATATAACTAAGAGATTCTCTAGACAACTCTTATTAATTCATCGAGTGATGATTCTGCAAGGACAATTTTGATGAAACAAAAATCATTCTAAATATAACTTGTTTTATGTTTCTTCCTCTCCCATCATTTCCATTAACAAAGACAACTCCACTTTTTTTCCCCGAAATGGTTCTGTTTTCAAAATGATAGCCTGATTGTTATAGGGTGACTATCCTAAGCTCTATAGTATAGCTGCCATCCATGGAGTTGGTGTGTTTTTGGAAGGATTTTTCATTACTCCTCTGCCTCCTGGCACATTTGCTCATCTTAAGCATTTCATAGCAGGGACGTGCAGTCACTAGAGGCANGAATCAGCAGCTCCATGGGCAGTCTGAGCTTTCTGAGTTGGCACAGAAATAACATTCTTTGTTGTGGTTTTTGATGGCATTTTTGATGTTAGGTGTCCATTTTAAGTTTTGAGATATAATCGAACCTAGAAACTTAAAGGTCTATACTGTTGATACTGTGTTGTCTAGTATTGTAAGAGGTGGTGGTATAGGAAGGTTTCTCCTAAAATCTATCACCATTTCTATGGTTTTGAGTGTAATTAATTCAAGACTGCTGTGGTTGCCCCACAAGGCTAGTTGTTCAACCTCAGATGTTTCTGCAACATTTAGAGATGCAACCTTGGGCCATTTTAAGTCTCAGACTAGTCTAATAAGTTTTTTAAAACTGCTCTCTAAACAGCAACCAACAAGCAGGAAAAAAGTAGACACCTCCAACTTTGTTCCCTAACATGACATTGTCCACCCCTGAAGGCCTTTCTTGTCTTTCTTGTCTACACTGTGTCTGTGTAGCTCCAAACACATAGAAGGTTTAAAGCATAACTGTATACAAATCTGCCTTGCAGTAACTCCACTCAGCACAGTGGGACCTCCAATAAATATGTCCAGAGCAGGACTTTTTAAAGACATGCGGCTTGTTATTATTTTTATTACAGTAAATGCCTTGCCCGCAAATTGCCATATTTCAAGTGAACATTAAAGTTTCTTAGAAAAGTTTCACTTTCTTTGTCTTCCAAATGTTTCTTTTTTTTTAGCTAAAGAGGTCAAGAAAACAAGCTTTGTATTAGAAAGTAGAATATGGGTGATGTTAAGCAACTCTTCACAACTTAACCAGATCACCTCTGAACTTGAATAAGAAGGAATTTCCTAACAGTGAGAATGATTAATCAATGGAACAGCTTGCCTCCCAAAGTTGTGATGCTCTATCGCTGGAGGTTTTCATGAAATTGATTGGATGGTATAGGTATCCTGCCTTGGGTAGGAGATTGGACTAGAAGATCTCTAAAGTCCTGTCCAGCCAGAAGTGGTATTCAGCTGGTTCTCTCCAGTTCTGGCAAACTGGTAGTGACGGCTGTGGGAGGCTCTGTCCACCCACCCCATCATAATGCATGAGCACTGCACATGCACAGAAGGTGGTGCGCATGCACAGACATGGTGCATGCACTCACATTTGAGAACCAGTAGGGAAGGCAAGTGAATCCCACCACTGCTTCCAGCCTTATCATTTTAGGATGTCTTCCCATTGGCCTCTGCAACATTTTATACCAAGACTTGGAGATTTCTTAATTAATTCAAAGTAAGCCACAATTTGGTACCTGGTTCTTAAATTAAAAATAGACAACAAACCATTTAAGATGACAGATGACATTGAATCAATTGAGAAATTGTTTGGAAAGCAAACTTATTTTACCTCATTCCCCTCACCCCTATTTTCAGTGCATGTTTACTTACCTTCTTGCAATCTTAAATCAAGCAGCATTTTTAACATGTTTGCTTTATTTACTTAAAGTAGAATAAAGTAAGTCCTTCACGTTTCTCTTGGGGAAAAAATAATGCCTCCTCACCATCAGCACCCATTGCAAAATTGCACATTCAGGAAATAGGTATAAAACTGCTGATGAACAGACCCTCTCAGCCATATATTGAAGCTGTGTTTCTCAACTTTGGCAACTTTAAGACCTGTGGACTTCAAGTTCCAGAATTCCCCAGACAGCCATGCTGACTGGGAAATTCTGGGGTTTGAAGTCGACAGGCCTTACAGTTGCCAAAGTTGAGAAATACTGCATTAGAGCCCTATTAAAAATCTCAGGCCTGTCTTATTTTTTGCAATCCCAGGCAAACAAGATATTTACAGAGACTGATAAAGCTCCGCATTTTATCTAAGCTTGTTTCAGAAAAAGGCCCTATAGCATCCCATCTTTAAATAGCAGTAGACTTATATACCGCTTCATAGGGCTTTCAGCCCTCTCTAAGCGGTTTACAGAGAGTCAGCATAT